TATAAAAACTTTTGATAATAGTTTTATAGATTAATTTATTTCTGTGTTTAAATTTTAATTAAAATAAGTGCAATATTAGTTTAAAAAAATAGATAAAATGAATAAAGAAAAATAAGAAATGTATGTACTAAATAAAACAACAATATGGCAATCATAGTGAAAAAAATTAATACAAGCAATACCCAAAGAAATACACTGGACTGATAAATGGTCGTAGTATAATATATTTCTTTAGATTAATAAACAATAAAAACAATTAATAATTTTATTTAATTATTTTTTTATATAAATGATAAAAAACCTGATTTAAATAACATAAAATAAGTGTTAAAAAGAAAAATTATTAACTTATTTGTTGTTTTTATCATCTTCATGGAAAGCGAAATAAACGAATGAAGCAATAATAATCATAGATGAAAACAAACAAAAAATAAGTGCGACTATATCCCCTTTTGAATAAGTAATTAATGTATCACAAAAAAATTTAAAACAGCAACAGAATGAATAAGAAAGTAATAATAAACAATTAATAACAAACCTAAAGGGTTTCTTAAAGTGAAGAACAAGAAAAGGGGTACTAAAAACATAAACACAGTAAATTTAAAGAATGTCTGTAATACTCCTGGTTCAAAACGTTCTGATAATGGACGATTTATCATTTTATTTTGGTCATTCTCTTTAATTTGGGGTTGTGAGGTTTGATGAATATGATCAGAATTATCTGAAACGGTTGGGTTTGTTTCTGGTAATTTGGAACTTCTCACACTCATTGATTTTTAACTAAAAAAAAGAATGATTTTAAATGAAAGTTTCAAATAATAGTTTTTAATTAACAATTCTTTTTTTTATTTCACAAAGATCGGTATATCATAATAGGTTTTTCTCTTCCGAAGATTTTTCTCAATGTTTCAATATCAGCTCTCATAGAACTGATTATAAAAGGGTCAGTGTGATGGATTTTTCTTTTATCTGAGAAATATTTTTGGGCATGAGTACGTACTTGTACTGATGTTCTAGTCTTTACGTATTTGGATATTTTTAAAACAGGAAGTCCTTTGCAAGCTGTTGCATTGAGAAAACAAAGGCAAATCATAAATCTAGTGTGTTCGTCATTACTCCAATACCTATGTGTACCCAAAGTTCCTTCAGGTATTGAAAGTGAATGGTTTGTAACACTAAACAATTCTTTTAAAATCGATTCTTGCTCATCAAATATCTTAAGTAAAGTGGTTTTATCTTGAATTTCCATCTCAATGAATTACTAGTGTTAACATTCCAAATGATATTTATAGGTTCAGAATACTCTTCTTATTCCAGGGGCTTCTTCTGATTATTTGAAACTTCAATTTTTTGAACCTTATGATTTTCTTTCAATTTTTACTTCTTTCTTTTCATATATTGAAATGATATTACTTTTATTTGGTTCATTTATTGAACTTTTCTTTTTCTTTTCTCTTTTATTTTTTCATTACTAATTTTATTTATAATTATTATTTTTAGTATTTGAAAATAACTAACTTGGTTGGCTGTTTTTTTATTAGTATTCTGTTAATTATTTCTATCAAAATATTTACCTCTCCACATAAAAGTGAATCAACTCCTTTTCTGTGAATTACATTAAAGAAATCCTTCACTATGATATTAAATTTATCGACTTTTTGAAGATAAAATATTTTTTTCGATTTTTATTTTTGTTTTTTACTATTTTACTAAATTTTTTTGTAAAAAATATTTCATAATCAATTGGATATTTCTTATTACTTTTTATTGTGGTTCCTCTAATTTAGTATTTTTTTATGATTATTTGTTGTTTATATTTTTTCATTCATATTATGAATTAATTTTTAATTAGTGCATTCTCATTCCTCATTACTTCTCTGTGTTTCATTCCTTTTTCATTGCTTCTCATTAAGTCTTATTGTGCTTATTCTACTGATTAACCAATTTTGGTTATATCACCCCAAAAGAAATACCCCCTGATTTAATAACACATTTATGTGAGATGTTTGATAATTTCTTCTGAAATACTCTCAACACCTTCAGTTGTTAATGTAGTTTTAACAAATGACAATGGGATTGCAGTAAGTTTATTCATAGTATACTGCCCAGCTACTATACATTATTTGGCAGCACTAATTCTGAAATGTGTAATTTTACCATCTAGATAACTACTAGCTTGAACAACAATAATACTTCACTTTTTCCTCAACCTTGTTTATGAAGAACTGGTAAACAAATGATGAGACACATTGTTGTATTGAACGAAAAGTCAACCACGTCACTACACAACCTAAAACAAAAGAAATAAAAGAAATTCAGAGCAAGAGAAAAGAGGAATAATAAATCAAAACAACAGCACATAAATCTTAAAGACCAGAATAAAGACGAGTAAAAAAGAAGACTAAAAAAGCCTTGATAAGAAAAAAGAAAAATAAACAAGAAGATGTGATAGAACGTTTGATTGAAAACAATATTGGGAGAATTAAAATTAAAAAACTTCAAATTATTAAATATGACAAACGTTGGTAGACCAACATGGTATTCAGCAAGAGGAAGTAAACACCAAGGGGGAATCAATTATGTACCATCAAAGCAGGTTTCTGCACAAGACGTTATTGTACAACCAGAATTAAAGAAAAGGAAAGTAGACCAGTTAATAACAAGAGAAATGTTAGAAAATACTAATAAAAAACAAGAAGAATTAAAACCTAAGAAAATTGAATATAAAGAAAGTAGTGATAAACAAAAAATTAAAGAAGAAATTAAAGAAGAAATTAAAGAAGAAATTAAAGAAGAAATTAAAGAAGAAATTGAAAGCGAAGACACTGAAGAAGCACTTAAAAAAGAATACGAAGAAATGGAAGAAGAAGAAGAATTTGAGGATTCTTCTGATTCTCAAAAATACTTTTCTGATGGATTGATTCAAAGAAAGTGGTATGATGATGTTGTATTTAAAAATCAAGCAAAAGAACCTCCGAAACAAACCCAGTATATTAATGACACTTTACGTAATGAATATCATCAACGTTTTATGGATAAATTCATTAAATAATTTATTTTTGTTATATATTACAATAACATTAAAAGTTTGAAATTAAAAAACTTCACCTTTTAATGATCTATTTTTATAGAAACGATAAAAGGAATAATAAAAAGAATTAAAAAATAGTAAAAACTAAAAAGAAAATAAAAAATAATAACAAATTTTATTAAAATAAGTGAAAAAAGGTGAAGCATGAGAAAATTAAAAAAAATCTTTGACTTAAAAGAACAAAAAAAGATTTAAAGATTCAAATTGATGAAAGTCCAATTAGAACATCTTTATTTATTAAATGTAGTGTTATACCTTGATTATATGAATGCTAGAAGATTTTCACTAATAAATAGTAAATGTTTAAAAGCTATTCATTGTTTATTAAGAAATCCAAATATTGTTAATGTAGAAGGAGAAAGTAAATTGTCACAACTAAGTAGTAAAACAAAAGGAATAATTGGAGAATTAAGAACATTTGATGGAATTCAAACATTAAGTTGTGACTATGAAGTACTTTTAAATATTCCATTTACTCTTATTAAAAATGTACAATGTTTTAAATTATCATTAAAACTTTTACAACCATTTGATTTAATAAGAATTAAAGAATATGATATAACAGATAAAATTACTGAACTAACATTATTTATTTATACCAATGTTGATATTAGATTTGGTTTTACTCAATTTGAATCATTGAGAAAATTATATATTAATTATGGGTTTAATGTTAATGAACAATCACTTGAACTTATTTCACCAATACTAAACACATTACCTCATTTTACCAAATTAATTATTGAGTGTGCTGCAAGTGGAGTATTACAGTTTATTCCTTATATTAAACGATTAAACAAAATTAGAATAGAAATATTATTGAGAGTTATTGGATTAAAAGATTCTATTTATAATGAATTAAAAGAAATACATTCATATTGTAAAATTTGTTCTGTCTTTAATAATATCTCTCCATTTCTTATTAACCATTCTATTCCTTTATTAATTGATCAAAAAAAGTTATTTATTATAGCTCCAGATATTGTTGAAACTGACGAAGTAGAAAGTGCATGGAATTTATACTATCCTTCTAAAGTTTCAATATTTGGAAATAAGGATCTCTTTACAAATGTTAATGAATTAAATCTTTCTCATCATAATTCATTAATAGACCTTTCTTTATCAAGAATTCATTCATACAACCCTATTCAATTATTATTTCCTGTTTCATTAAGATCATTATCATTTTCATGTTTTAATGTTACTCCATTCCCCTCTCTTAGTTCATTAAAAATAGAAGAATTAAAAGTGAATGACTGTTCCACAATTGTATCTCTTTGTTACCTACAACATTAACTAAATTATCTGTTTTTGATTGTGAACGATTAACAGAAATTATTGACTTAAATAATGAAAAGATGAGAGATTTAAAAATCTCATGTCCGTCTGTAAAAATGATTGTTCCTTATGTATGTAAGAAGAGATTAAAGAAATATTATAACAAAGTTACTTCAAATAACCCTGTTGATATTTTAATATCTCAACGGGCTCGTCAATGTATGGGTAAAACGGATAATTTTTCTGATGTTGAAATACCTACAGGTAACATCCCTTTAGTACGTCGAAGTTTCGTATCAGTGAATTGCTAATTATGAAGAGACATTTTATATAATGTTTTTAATATCATTTAATTACATAATTTATTATTTGTTATATTTTTTTTTAAATTGAGGTTTATATTTGATGAAATACAATCATCAGAACTAAGAAGAAAGAACTTTGTTTCTACAACTCTATTTCATGCCACGAAGAAGATCATCTAGTTCAAGCCGAAAATCAAATGAAAAAAAAAAAGCAAAGAAAAGAAATAACAAAGGTGAAGAACAAAGAAAACTCGAACAAAAAGAAAAAGATGAATTAAAGGAATATCTTGAAGAAAAAAAGAAATATTTTGAAGATGTAGACAATTTTAAATTAGATACAGTTATAGAAGATCCTAAAAAGCCCTCTGAAAATAATGAAGAAACAAGTTTATTTTCTTTTGATAGACCAAACTTGTCTAGTCTTATCAATTCTGGATTAAGTCGAGAAAGTATTTCTATTATTCCACGTGAACCAGAAGAAGAAAAAAGTGATGACTCATTCATTAATAGACCTAATGGAGAAATTTTTCCTTCAAGAAAAGAAATTCAAATTGAGTCAAAAGAACTTGATTATATTAGCCAAAAATAAATATGTAATGTTGTTTGTTTTAAATAAATTAATTCTTCTTTACTTTTGTAGTACTTATTGTTTGTAAAGACGTATTCATAATATTAATGGCATCTTGTGCAGCAGTTATGATATCTTTAAACCTGTCAGGCCCTAATAGTATTCCCCCAAACCAACGTGAAACCATAACACAAACATTAGTTGCAGAGATTTGTTCAAGACTTTTTAATAATTGTTTACCTGCAGCATGTTCACCATCATCATCAAAATCACAAATAATAGAGTCATTTATTTTTATTCTATAAGCTTGAATATTATGAGTTGCTATAGATATCTTTTTATTTCTTAATAATTCTTCAAACACAATTCTAACTTCTTTTTCATTGTTTACTGGTGCAGCAAATGCAATAAACTTACTTTTACGGTCATTAATTGGATTAGAAATAAAAATAGGAATTCCCTTTGCTGAAAGTCCTTGCATAACACTCTCTTCATTTTCTTCTTTAGAAATAATTTCTTGTTTTGCTTGAATCTCTTTTTCTGCTTCATCATCTTTATAAATTTTAGCATTAATTTTTTGAAGAAATTCTTCACTTTGTAAATAATCAACAATTGCATAAATACACTGACCTCCTCTATACTCATTTGCTATTCTCTCAGCTTCATCAATACAGACATTTAACTGACCATCATTTAACCAATTTCTTTTTGTTTTTGCTTCAAAACGAGGAATTTCTTCAAAGGGGTAATTATTTGGTAAATAATAAAACAGAATTAAAGAACAAGAAGAAGAAAAACAAATATGAACTCGATAATGATTTTGATCAATTTTATTAAAATTAATTAAGTCATTATATTTAAAAACCTCTTTTAATGATTCATATTCTTCTATTTGTTCGTTGTTCATAAGAAATGAAAAAGATACACTTTCAATAGAACTATAAAATAGGGTTAAAACAATCAATTATTAATATTTTTTTTAAGAGAATTTAACAAAGGAAGGATGTTCAATATTAATTGTAGTTGGAAATCCTTTAATCATATGTCCATCAATTGAAATAGATACAGTCAATGTTCCTGGAAGACATAACCATATATTTACATCAAACCCACATTCTCTTGAAATTACACAGCTTTGTATTGGAGTAGAATTAATTGATGCTTGAACGTCAACTAATTGAATTTGATTAACACCAACTTCATCTAACTCACTATTATATGTTACAAATGACACAGTTAATAAATCTCCAATTGTCATAGATTCTGGAAGTTTTTTGCATAATGAAATTTGTGAAAAATCTAATTCTAATGGTTCTAAAGCAATAACAGTTACTGGAAATCCAGAAATTGGAATTTTTTCTAATTCTCCATTTTGTTTTTGTAATAGTAATACATTAAAACTAAAAGTTCCTGATGAAAGTGCATTTAATTTAAGAATACTTTCGTTCATTGTTACAGTTAATTGTTGTGAATGGCGTACACTAATTGGAATTGCTGAGTCAAATTCTTTAATTACATTTCCAAATGAATCTGATAATAAAATATTTAATTCTAATGGTCTGCCAACAACAAGAGTTAAAGTTGAATCTATTTTCTTTTGAATATGAATTATTTCTTTTGAATTAGTAATAATTGTTTTATCTTGAAATAGTAAACATTTAGTAATATCAAGTTTACCTGCTTTAAGAAAAAATGTAGAACTATAAAGAAGTTGTACAGAAGATGATATAGATAATGTATAATCACCTTGTTGAGTAAATATTGGAATAGGTGATCCATAACAATCTCCTAAATTATACAGTTTAATGTTAAATGTTTTTTTAGAATGGTTATGTGTTATTGAACATTGCAAACTTTCAAAATCTAACATATTCTCATTAAAATCAACTGGTCTATATTTAATAAACATTTTATCTCCAACTATATTCTTTTTACTTTCTATTGGTTCTATTAATTTACTTTTTATTGAACTAAACTCTCCTGGAATTACAGTAACACGACATATTGAAAGACTTTGTTTAATAGTAATTTCATATGTCCCACATTCAATTAAACGTTCATTTTGCATTTCACCTATTTCACTTTCAAATTGTTGTTTTTTCTTTTGTGTCCACTGTTGTAGTATTTCGTTTAATTCTATCATTGAATCAATAATCATTGAAAACTCACTTTGATATCCATTTTTTGAACACAATAAAGTTGCTGGTGCACTTCCATTAACTTGTAAAATACATTGTTTTATTTCATCACTACTGACTGTAAGAGAAGGAATTTCCCATGTTAAGTGTGGGTATAATGTCTGTCGAACTCGAGACATTCTTTCTCTTTCATTTTTTAAGTTTTTCTCTTTTTAATTTTAAGTTCTTTAAATTTTTTATTTTAATTTTTTCTTTTTTTTTTTCTTTTTTTTTTCATAAATTTATTATTTTGGCATCATTCTAGAGAATATCTAAACTTAAACTTCTATATCTCATAAGAAGTTAGTATGTCTTCAGTAACTACAGGTAAAAGTGTTAAAGAGTATATTAACTTTTGTTCTGGTTTAATGAATGAAATTGAACAGTCATCAAAAAATAATGATCCAATTGTTCAAAGATTTAGATGGTCTATTTTAATTTTATTTAGAGTAATCACAAATTTATATGATTGTCTTGATAAAAATAAAAATCAGTTAGATTTACTAATATCCCAATTACATGAACAGAATTTAAAGAAA